CAGCCAATACACCCTGGAGGAGTAGATGCCAGGAAATAATCAACTTGATGGTGGAAAACAATAAAGTGGAAACTAGGAGACCAATACAAAGAATCAATATGACAAAGAGTTGGTTCTTTAAGAAAATCAACAAGATAGACAAACCTTTATCCAAACTTACCAAATGGCTGAGAATGAACATGCAAATTAATAAAATCAGAAATGAAAAGGGGATATAACAACAGACACAGAGGAAATACAGAGAATCATCAGGTCATACTTTGAAAACCTATATTCCTCACAATATGAAAATCTAAAGGAAATGGACAATTTTCTGGACAGATTTCACATACCAGAATTAAATCAAGAACAGATAAGCAATTTAAGTAGACCTATAACCCCTAATGAAATTGAAGCAGTCATCAGAATTCTCCCAACAAAAAAAAAGCCCAAGGCCAGATGGCTTCAGTGCAGAATTCTACCAGAAATTCAGAGTACAGCTAATATCAATTCTCCTCAAAGTATTTCACACACTAGAAGCAGAAGGGTCATTACCACACTATTTTTATGAGGCTTCAATAAAATTGAAACCCAAGCCACACAAAGACACAACTAAGAAAGAGAACTACAGACTAATATCCCTCATGAACATTGATGCAAAAATTCTCAATACTAGAGAACTGAGTCTCTTCATGTCTAAAGTGTACTGTGGTTTAATAAGGGAAATTGATAGAAGTTATGAACACTGATAATAAATGTGCATTAGAAATAATCTGATGATTAAACATTTACTTCTGAATTATTAAAAACCACCAGGGCAAGTACTATAGTAAAATTTAAAAAGATGGCTGTAGCAATAGCATTATCAGTTGACAGGGAAGAGATCACACTAAAATGGAGCAATGACTTCATGAGTTAGTACAAAATCCAGATATGAAAGATAAAACAATAGTGTATTATCTGCACATAATTTTAATTTTGGTTGCCTGTAGAAACTGCTTTCAACATATTAAGCAATCATATGAAATTTAATTGAATTTTGTATTGAACACCTCTTAGAATCTTTACTGGATAATTAACTGGTTCCTTGTATTGTAGTACTCAGAGAAAGTCTGGATTTTAAATTAAAATGTTACAAAAGTTTGTACAAGTCTTGAGAAGCCTCAGAGATTATAAAAGAAAAGCAGTAAGAATTGGGAGTAGAATTAACTGTGCTTATTTTGAATTATAAGGCTCCAAACGACTTAATTTTATTAAACTTCACTGGAATGTGTCTCTTATTGTTTTATACTTAACAGACTATATACAAAACTAAATTTATAAGTTGTATAAAATATCCAAGTACATATGGAAAACATTTAAATTTTTAATACAATGTGTAACATAAATATATGAATATTATTAAATATTTGTGTTCCAGAGATAACCACATAATCAGTGTGTGTGAGTGTATATATGCTCACAATATCTCAAGTGACTATTGAATTTCTATCTCTTGTTTCCCTTTCAGGCACCTAATGTAAAATGGCATAGATTTTCCAAAACTTCAAATGTAAGGGGTACTCACGGTCATGTTTAAATAAAAAAAAAAACACTTCTAAAAAGTTTTAAATTGATAACTTGATATTATCATTGTGTGCCCAGCTAGTAGACCAAGGAAGTCTACGGGTCCTCTAACAATGGAGCCAGTCTTTATCCCTAGAGCACAAATGGACTTAGGGAACCCATTCCCTATGGGGAGATACTATTGCAGCCCACATAAGGAAAGGAAGGCCTGGGCCCGCCCCCAATTGATGTGACAGACTTTGATGACCCCCTTGAGGAGGGCCTCACTATCCGTGGGTGGGGTGGATTGGGGGGGTCAGTGGGAAGCATGGGAGGGCGAGGGGCTGGGGGAATGGATATACTAAAGTAAATTTTAAAAATGTTAAAAAGAAAAAAAAAAGATGAAAATCCAATTACCACAAAGAAAAATTTCTTGGGTATATATCAGGTGTCAGAAAAAATGACTCAGTGTTTCACTAGAAGTTTCAGGCCAAAGGTTAGCTCTTGGAAAAAAAAAAGTATAGAATATGAAAATAACTTAAGGATATAGGAGAGCAAGGAAAGAGATATCTTAATAGAGGGAACCTATCTAGGTTTAAAGAGGAATCTGACACTAGGGAAATGTCCACAGAATCACCTGGACGATCCCAACTAAAAATCTAAGCAATAGTGGAGAGGCTACCTTAGATGGCCTTCCCCTATAATGAGATTGATGACTACCTTATATGCCACCCTAGAACTTTCATCCAGTAGCTGACAGAAGCAGAGGCAAACACCCACAGCTAAGCATTGAGCGATGACTCTCGAATCCAGTTGTAGAGAGGGAGGAGGGATGAGCAAAGGACTCAAGACCATGCTGGAGAAAACAATAGCTTACCTGACAAAATGAGAGCACACAGACCCCAGTCATAAAGCTGGGGAACCAACAGGGACCAAACCAAGCCCTCATGAATGTGGGTGCCAGTTAGGAGGCCTGGGCAAACTATGGGACCTCTGACAGTAGAAGCAGTAGTTATCCCTATTGCACAAATGGACTTTTGGGAGCCCATTCCCTATGGAGGGATACCCTCTCAGCCCAGATGCATGGAGGAGGGCCTAGCACTGCTCCAAATGATGTCACAGACTTTGATGAGGCCTTACTCTCCCTGGGGAGTAGATGGGGGGTGGGATGGGTGAGCTTTGAGAGACATTGGAGGATGGGAGGGAGAGGGAAGTGGGATTGATATGTAAAATAATTTAAATAAATAAAAAAATGGGAAAAAGAAATAAGAAAAGAGAAACTCAACCCTATATAAGCCCCAAGGAGGAACAGCCAAGCCCATCTACACTTGCATTATATTTGTCTTTGTAAATACTAGAAAGCCTGAAAAAGATATTTCCTCATAGTGACTTTGATAATGTAACTAGGTGTTGTTCTTTACACACACACACACACACACACACACACACACACACACACACATTATTTTTCAGAATATTTTGAACATTTTTAAAACAAAAATATGATATTCTTCCTTATTTACCACACAAAATACTTTTAAAATGTTTCATTGTGATACTTTCACAATTCCTATTTTGTTCACCCTTTTTATTATCTCCTCTTAACTCTTCCTCAATTTTTCCTTTTCACTACAATAATAATTTCCTGTTATACTTTTATGTCATTTCAAAATTATATTGTTGTGGTTTGAATGATAATTGTCTATAGGAACATACATTTGATATATTTTAATACTTGGTACCCAATTAGCAGAACTGTTTTGGAAAAAGTTTAGGATTTATAGAAAGATGTATATCTTTGTGGGAGAGGTATGTCATTGGGGTAAGCTTTGAGGTTTCAAAAGCACATGCCAGGCATAGTCTTACTCTCTGTATCTCTCTGCCTGCTGCCTGCCTATCAGATGTAAGCTTTCAGCTACTGGTCCAGCTCCAAGCCTGATTGCCTGCTGCAGTACTCTTCCCCATTATGGTCATGGACTCTAACCCACATGAACCCAAGCGCCTTAAACTTTAGATGCTCTTATTTCATTCTGTCAAAGGTTAAAATAATTGCAAATTTTATAGGATCAGGCAAATTAAGAAAGAACATAGACTCTTTTATAAAACTTTATATCTAATTCAATAACAATTATGGAAAATATAATTACAGTAACATGTATCAATGATGTAAATGTTTGTATTTTAAATATAAACTCTATTGGTAATTTATGAAAGCTATGGGCTTATATCTCTAAAAAATCTTGATAACTCAGTAAATTCAACAATTAAGTGTTCTAGTAATTGTTTTCAAGCACTTTTGGAAATGAACAAAATATGGATGGTAATTGATACACGATGTTTCTGTCTAATACCATAGAGAAGTGGGTAAAATTTAAGAATGGCCTGACCTTGTAGTCAACCCTTCATTTTAATATACATGATCTTATATAATTAAAACCAATTCAATAGTGAACTATGATTTGTAACAATGAATTTCATAGTTTATGTCAGAGAGGTGATAAAAATTTGGGCTGGTGACACAAATTAAAATTGGAGTAATTTATTATATTAATTTATGAATAGATACACTGCACATTTAAAAGTCATCTTTTTATACTGCTCATCCAAATTCTAGCAAAGTACAGGT